ACTGAGAAAATAAATTCCTGCAGCTTAAGCTCCTCAGAGTAGTACTTTGTTAAGGCAGCAAACCAAAACACATACTTTACATGCGGACTTGAGGGAGGGTCCCAAAGGACTTCCCACCTTATTAATAAAAGCAAACTTAAGTACAGTGCTACTGCTATTTACATAACAATGTTTCCCAAGTGCCTTAACTGCCCTTTAGTTCCTGTGAACCTCCCCATCAGCCTGACCTTGTACACAGGGCCAAGCATTAGCCTCCATTTTGAAAATGTGGAACCAGCCAGGAGAGGCTCAAAGACTTGCCCCAGGTCACATCAATGAAGAGTGGCCACACCTCAGCTAAAACTCAGATTCTGACCCTTCCCCGGGTCCCCTCCGCAGGGCTTACCTCTCAGAAGAGGGGTGTGAACATGGTGCCCGGCGGTGAGCCAGTGGCGTAGGGCCCTGGGTGTAGGGCCCTGCTGGACAGCCCCACCGGCCTCCCAGCCCATGATCTCTTCTTCCAACTGCACTCGGGACCCTAACACATTCAACAACTGCACGGCTCAGCGGCACCCCCCCCCCGCTGCAGCCCCGCAAGCACCACCCGACAGCAGCCTTCCCGCGCGCACCGCAGCTCACGCAGCAGCCCACAGGCTCATCTCCCAAATTACGCCAAGATATCCTGCAAAGAGGGAAATGCAAATCCAAACCACAACAATGCACCGCCACACTCCACCAGACTGGCTAAAATAGACAAGCGAGACAAGAAAGGCTGGCAAGGAGAACCCCGATCACACATACGTGGCTGGTGGGAATGCAAAATGGTGCAGCTACTCTGGAATAGTTTGGCAGTTTCTTAAAAATCCAAACACACAACTACATACAACTTAGCAATCGCATTCTTGGGCACTTATCCCAGAAAATGAAGACTTGTGTTCATGTGAAAACCTGTGCATAAATGTTCATAGTGGCTTTACTCATAATAGCCAAAACCCAGATGTCCTTCAGCAGGTGAATGGTTGATCCATCAGATCCATGCCACGGAACACCACTCTGCAATGAAAAGGAACCACCCACTGATACACACAACCACCTGATGAATCTCCAGAGAATTATGCGGCCTGATAAAAATCAATCCAAAGAGGTTTCATGCTATATGATTCCATTCATGTAACATTCTTGAAATGATAAACCTAGGGGCGCCTGGGTGGCTCATCGTTAAGCGTCTGCTTTCAGCTCAGGTCATGATCCCAGAGTCCTGGGATTGAGCCCCACATCAGGCGAAGCCTGCTTCTCCCTCTCCCACTCCCCCTGCTCGTGTTCCCTCTCTCACTGTGTCTCTATCAAATAAATAAAATAAAAACTTTTAAAAAAAAAAAAAAGAAATGTTAAAACTATAGAAATGGAGAAGAGATTACTGGTTGCCAGGGGCTGTGCCGGAAGGAGGAGCGAGATGGGTGTGGCTTAAAAAGGACAAGAGAAGAGGACCTGGGAGTGATGGCAATGCTCTGTACCTGGACTGAATCCATGCCAATATCCTGGCTCTGTATGGTACTGTAGTTTGGCAAGATGTCACCTAGAGGTAAGTTGGTAATGGGTATATGGGGTCTCTCTGTATTATCTGTTACAAACGTATGTGTTTATAATTATCTGAAAATACAAAGTTAAAGAAAAAATAAAAAAGAGGAGGAAGGAAGGATTGAACGATTGAAGGCAGGAAGCAAACAAGAGAAGGAACTATTCACAACCCCTAAGACAATCCTGGTAAGAAGTGATATTCTACGCAAACATTGGCACAACAATAAATTTAAAATTTTTATAATGTTTTCAAAGTAAAATAAAGTTTGTAGAAATATAATATGCCCTAATTTGGTTTTTCTGCAACTCCAGTGAATGAAAATGTCTGCATTTCTATTTACTTACAATCAAATCTAATTTTTCTTCCCCAAAGTAGCAGCTTGTTTTCTACTCTAGATAATAAAAGACATCTCTCTGCAACTCCCACACTCCCAAATTTATTTGGATATTACACTACTCCTAGCAGTTATCATCACTCAGAACTAATCTAAATACACACAAGTCATGCTCCCCAGCACCAAGCAAATGAGACTTTCCCCCAAGAGAGGGGCAAAACACACCATTAAGAAATCACCTTTTGAGGAAAAGTATTCTTGCAGCAAACTGTACCTGTCAAATCCAAACAGAAAATCACTTGTCACTACATTTCTGAACCGCACTTTATTAAATAAAAAATTAATAAAAGCAACACCCCATTGAGTGCTTGGCTGATCTCAAACACGATGCCCCCTCTTCTGCCAACATTATTTCAATGCATCATCCTTGGTCTTTGTGGTAGCCAGGCTTAGTTCCACCGTCCAGATGGGGAAACCGAGGCTCAGGAAGATGAGTAATTTGCTTATGGGCCACATGAGGAGTAAGAGCCAGGAGTTAAAGGTGTCTGCAGCACCCACACCCGCATCCCCTTTGAGCTCTCCGTAGAAAAAGCCAGAACGAAGCACCCACACTTGGGTCCACTGGTGTTCAATCTCCTCCATAACAAAGCTGAAGGCTAGCAAGAGAACCTTACTCTCCCGAACTGCTCTCAGCACCACCTCTGTTAGGTTTCTCTTGCTGCCTTAACAAACGGCCACACGCTGAGCAGCTTCAAAGGGTCCACAGGGATATTCTCCAGCTCCCCAGGTCAGACACTCAGTGGCTCTGGGTCTCAAAATCCAGCTGCTGGCCTGCTGGGCTCTTGTGGGAAGCTCAGGAAGGGATCTGTTTCCAGGCTCGTTGGGGTACTGGCAGAATCCAGTTGTGCCTGTAGGACTAAGGTCCCCGTTTCCTTGCTGGTTGCCAGCTGGGGGCTGCCCTGAGCTCCCTGGGCTTTCTCTAGTCCCTGCAAGGGGGCTCCTACATCTCAGGGCCAGCGACCTCTGACTCCACTCTTCTGTGACCAGCCAGAGAAAGTTCTCTGCTTTGGGGGCCCACAAAGAAAATGCAAGATCATCTCTCCAACTCTAAGTCTCATTACGTTAACCACATCTGCAAAGCCCTTTCTGCCATGTCACGTAACGTATTTACAGGTTCTGGGGATTAGGGTATGGACATTTTGGGAAGGGAGCCATTATTCTGCCTCTCACACCAATGAGAGAGCACACCATCCTCAGGTGTGACTCCAGAACACACTCCATCTTTTCACCTCATCTTAAGAACAGGATCCATAATAATTTTATTATCGTTGAGACCTCAGACTCTGCCTAGCTGGGGGATGATGGAAAAGTTCACCCAGTCCAAGCCCTCCGTGGGACAGGTCAAAATTCATTCCTCTGTTAATTAACCAAATCCATAAACACTGACCCACCCAATTCAAGCCTAGGGGGAGACATTAACAGGCTAGTAAATTTACTGGGGGCAACCCCAACCCCCACTGGAATAAATGGGGTGGGGGAGGAGAACAGCATTTCCAGCCTTGCTGAGGAAGCAACAGATCAGCTGTTTACTCCTTTCCCCAATTTACAAAATAAGTAACTGAAGTGTCTCATTTACAAACAATGCTTCTAACAGATTCCAAGTACTTGCAAACAATGAGCTGTGATTCATGTTTCCAAATGAGATGGAGTTTTATCATTTTCTTTCCCCTCGTGATTCATTCATCCCGCCAAGTCAGTGGTCGGAGTGGAAGCAAGACCCACCCACGACCTGCCACAGCCCTCCAAGGAAACACAGCCCTGTTGTTAGGCTCCCCCAAAAAACACTGTGGTTGATAAGGGGGGGTGCCCAGTAATTTTCCCTTGGGAGGAAACAGCCCATTAGCTAGTGGGAATGAATCCCTATCCCCTAGCACTTCTGTCTTCCCTTCCTGAGAACCAGTGGGACCCTCCAGTGCCAACTCCTAGAACAGTGGAGAGCTTGGGCTGACCCGGATGTGAGCATCCTCACCTTCCCTTCTGCCCAGAATCAAGAGTTGCCTAACGGAACTCCAGTCATTTAAAGCTCCTACTGATGCTGAACAGGCTGTGCTGTCCCGTCCCTGCTACCCTGTTCTGGGGCCTCGGCTCCACTGGAGTGAAACCTAGCAGAGCAGTCATTCTCCCCTCCACCTGACAGCCATTCACACTGTTCCTGGAATTGCCTAGCAAAACCATCCAGGACAGGGTCCTTTGGAAACTTTTCAACACAGACTTTTCTTAAAACCACAGCATTAGCCAAAGGTGTGATGTTGGAAGTCACCACAGTGAGTGCTAGCTAAGCTTCTGGAAGGTGTGTGATGTCATGGGGAGGGACACAGCCATGTTCTTGCCCACAGTCACCTCCCTCGCCACCAAGGAGACCGCGCTCACTCTGTCACTGAATGCTCCCTTTGGTCTTCTCTAGACAGGACAGTCAAGCAACTCAACAGGTGCCATACCTACAGTGTCCTCACTGTCATGCTGCGAGCCAACAAAAGGTGTCAATGTTAAAATGCAGAGCTCCAAAGAGAAGCCCCTCCCCACCTCGGAGGGCCAGCTCTGGAGGAGACCAGCAGTGGGGGTAGGCATGGCACCGCAAAAGCTCAGGGACAGGGGGGCCTGCCCGCTGCGGGTGCAGAAGCCCCAGGAGGAGCCCCGAGAGGCACAACCTGGCGGCCAAGGTCACAAAAGGCCTTACAAGTCAGGCAAAGTGCAGCCTGGGTGACGGAGATAATAAAGGAGCAGGAGGAAAGTTAGACGCAAAACTATGAAGGTCCAGGGTCCGGGATCCCGGAGAGCAGCCAGGGCCCCGACTCCCGACACGGTGGGTGAGAAAGGACAGGCTGGACCCCAGACTTCTGGCAGCCAGGCTGCAAATCCCCGGTGAGGAGGACAGCAGGGCGCAGCGAGGGCTGGGGTCCGTTTGTTCTGCCATCAGGGAAAGCCTCGCTCTCTGGAATGTATGTATACTCGCTCGGTCCGAAATGTAGACTTGCAACCCGACTCCCCCCACTCCCCGCAGGAAACGACAAAGAGCGGTGGAGCCAAAACAGTCCCGCACTCCGCAACCCGCTCCCCGAGCCCGGGGACGCCGGAGCGCTCGGCCCGCCGCTCCGCTCCGGGGGTCCCGCACGGTCCAGGCCGGGCCCACCGAGTGGCGGGCAGGGCGCCCGGCCCGCCCAGGTCGCGCGCGCCACTTCCTACCGGGAGAGAGCACAACTCTTCGCTTGGATCCCTACAACTTGCAACTGCCCGCCCGGGGAGCTCCAGACCCTGCACGCAGCTTCACCCAAAAAGCAGAAAGCCGCGGCCGAACAATGACCCCGGGACGGCCTGGCCCCGGCCAGCCCACCCGAAGGCTTCGGCCGCGGACAGAACGGGGTCTGAGCTCGGGCGGCCGGGGAGGCTGGAGGGCTCCGCCACCGGGTGCCCGCCCGGCAGCTGGGGGGGGG